TGGTTTTGTTTTCTAAACTTGTGCTATTGTTGTTTAATTACAATATTTGTTAATTTAAAACGAACATTTTAAATTATTTTCGATAAAAAAAAAAAAATCTGCTGACATTCAGACTGCCAAGCAATCTGCATGCAGACGCTGACTGTGACGTTTGATCCCAGCATCTTGGGAGACGTTTGCCGCGCCTTATAAACAATAGAGAATCTTTGGCTGTTTCTCAATTCCAACCCCTTATTCAAATACCCACACTTGCGGACTTTGCACTTGACCACTTGACCACTTGATTACTTATATGACGTATTTCCTGTATTTGGCAAGTGTTCAATTGAGGATGAAGACCACAAGTGTGTGTAGAACTTGTCATTACCTGATGGGACACACTTAAAGTGTTGTAAAAATTCAAGTGTTTACATAGCTTTATTTTTATTTTAAATACTTTGCATTTTAAAATCAACTTCTAAATATCTGTTCAGTAGTCCATGACACAATTTAATTTGGTTCTTCTAATTAAGTGATGAAAAGCAAAGTGATAGAAAAGTGTTTATTACGTTTGAAATATGGATATTTTTCTTACGAAAAATCATGGATTTGCTACAGGAGGCCTTTATTCATGCCCCGGAGCTGAGTGAGGGACGTTTTATTACGGATGCGCACACTTTATTTCAGGTCTTCTGAACTGTTGACAACCAACACCTGCTTACCCCCATTGAATGGCTTGGAGGGGCCAGGACAATTTTTAATATAACTCAGATTGGATTCGTCTGAAAGAAGAAAGTCACATACACCTATGATGCTTCGAGGGTGAGTAAAACACAGGCAAATTTTCATTTTTGGGTGAACTAACCCTTTTAATGCTGTTAAACTGTGCTAAGCCACTTGGCTGCAATACATTTAACATTGACAATGAAAAAGAGAGCTCGTCTTATTTGTCAGTGTAACCTATGTGAAAGTAGCATTCGTTACCATTAATTTCAGAGTGTAATAGCCTATGTGACCAGTCCCTGACCTTTTTTTTTTGTAACAAGATTTTTGGTTCTGTGCTGGGCTTGAGCTGTCCTGCTAGTATAATATAAAAAAATACCGACAATCATAGCCTGCCAGAGCAGGGGCTGTGCGCTACACTGATTATCCTAGAAGACAGTAGTGCACTATTATCATCAGTTATAAAAAAAACATAATTATTGTTTCAAGGTAGTTATATACTAAGTATGTTAAATTGAAGTAATAGTGTTTGTATGTACTGTATAACAGGGCCTGAACAGTGTGCAGGATGGTTTTGTACATAATTTTTAACATTACAGAGAAGTACACACTGATATGTATGTATGTATAATAATAATTATAATAATAAACTTACAGTACAATTGCAACAGTTCTGCAATTATATTTGCAGAAAGCACATAATTGCTATTGTGTGTGGGGGCTATAATGCAAAATAATAAGCCTAATTAAAGATCCATTTCCAAAAGCACAAACATAAAATAATATTTGAAATAGTAGCCTACTGGAAACACTATATTTAATTAAACACATGAAAAATATTAAATACAATTACAAAATGTTAAATATATATATATATACGTTTGTTACAGTTTTTCAATTTGTATTATGCATTATGTTGTAAAATGTATAATGTTATTTGTGTAATATTTTTGTAAAGTTATAATTTTGTTATAATACTGTGATCTGTTGCCTATTTGCAGTGATGGCTATTTACTATTTTTCATAGTTTGATAAGATCTTTAACGTCATTTTGTGCCATTGCTTTGGCAATTATCTGTCAAATGAACTAAAATTGAAAGCACAATGGCTTTGCTCACATGATCAGTTCGGTGTTTTCAGAGTATCAGAAGAGGGTTGAGTCCCCTTTAAAGTTCAGGTTCAAGTCAGGTCATTCATATTATTATAGACAATATTTGTATATTATTTTATAGCTTTTTATTTGCCTCATGTATTTGTGAAATTAGGCTATGTATAATGTTACATATTCTTTGCCAATGGTAAAATTCTTTTTAAAATGCCAATAAAAAGTAGGACAGGCTTTCTCCAGGTCTGTATCAAGTAATTAAAATTATGCAAAACAAAACGACAAATGTTTACTTTCACAAGCCGTCACATGTAGTTATATTTTATACAGTTTTATGGTTATATGGCGAGCCTGAGTATAGTTTTACACATCAGCCAAGTCTATTCTGTAACGTTAGTGATACGCAGAGTCAGGGTTTTATTGCACATTAACCTGACAATAAATGTGGCACACCCAGTTTTTTCTGATGCACAACCAGAATGTCTTTTCTGGCTATGCTAGTGCTCTAAAGCCATAGCAGAATTGGTGGGCACCTCCGTTTCTGAATGAATCCGCTTTTTGAACGAGTAAGTGTTCATTCATTCGAGTACATGAATGATTCATAAAGACAGTTACCGCCACCTGCTGGTAGTTTTAGTTTATTATTTAGAGTATTATTTCATTAAAAAAATTCAAGGTATAGTTCACCCAAACATTTAAATTCTGTCATCAATTACCCTCATGTCGTTTCAAAACTGTATGACTTTCTTCTTTTGCACAACATAAAATAAGGTATTTTGAAGACTGTTGGTAATTAAGCTGTTTTGGTTACCAATGACTTTCATTGTATGAACAAAAAATACTGAGATGTTTCTCAAATTATCTTCTTTTATGTTCCATAGATTATGTTAGGCCGTTGTAGCCTAAACATTTATGTGTAATACATTTTATGTTGAATCAAATAAAAGATCAAGAAGATAATTGGATTAATTAATCAACACTTCAAAGTAATTAGATTTTGATAACATTGATAACATTGAAAGATAACATTAAAATAAATGGTATCTGATCCATTATTAATGTGTCCTAAAAGTCAAATGCACTAGTGTATGCATGCATACATAAACAATCACTTTGTGTCTTTTCACATTCTCATTCTTTCTTTCTTCCACACCTCATTCTTGTCTTTTTTGCATGAAATATTTATGAGTTTAGAATTAAGATTCTTGCGCACATGCTCCTGCTGGCACCTTCTGTGGGTTGTGACATCATGTGTCAAGGCTCTGATTAACAGTGCTCAACACTTTGCCTCTAGACTGACAGACAGATGAGGTCGAGAGGAGAGCTAGCAGGTAAATAACAAGAAAACAAGTCAAAAAAGAAGAACAGGCATAGAACAGACAGCCAGAGAAGAGAAGAGAAGAGAGGAGAGGAGAGGAGAGGAGAGGAGAGGGGAGGAGCGGAGGGGGGAGGGATAGGGGTGTTTGAGTTTGGGGAGTGGACAGCCGGGCTGGCAGGCATGCAGGCAGGCAGGCCCATTAAAAATTCAGCAGCAGGGAACAGGCCGGGGATTCACAGTAATTAGATGACAAAACGGCAGGCTCGCTGGAGATGAGAGAGAGAAGGGTCACACACAATGCCCCCAC